TAGAAAGACCTGCGCAGCTTCTCGGTGACACGACGGTGTCCCATATGCCCACCTAGAACAGGAGAATCATGGTAGGCATGGAGAAACCACGGAATAAACACCGAAGGCACCACCAGCCGTAAATGATCATCAGGATCCGTCCCCACAAAATAAAGAAGGCCATCTTCAAGACGATATTGAGAATGTAAATGCCAGAAAGGCAAGTCATCAGCAAGTGATGCAGGATTCTCAAACCCATCTCGAAGCCTTCAAATCCACGGCTCAATCTTTTGAGCCTCGCGAACCTCATCAAGAGAAGGTAGATCTTGCTCTGTGCCCTGTGGACACTGAACATCAAGGACAGCAACCTCCAATGGCACAGAATCTTCATCTAGAAAATCCACAAATGCTGGAACAACAGGTTCGTCAGAAACATGAGAAGTGAGTGGAGAAGGAAGAGGAGCTCGAGAAAGGGCATCAGCATCAGCCATAGAACTCTCTGGGCGATGAACAACATCGAAATCATATATCTGAAGCTTCAAAGCCCATCAAGCCGTACGACCAACTAGGTTCTTCCGCTTCAATAATGAAGTAACAGCAACATGGTCACCTTCAAGTAATGTCTGAGAACCATGTAGATATGCATGAAGTTTCTCGAAACCCCAGACTGTTGCTAAACACTTCTTCTCCGTCGTGGAGTAGTTCATCTCTGCTGGTTGTAATATACGGCTTATGTATGCAATGGGATGGCGCTGACCAGGCACACTCGAGCTCTCTTGCATCAACACACCTCCAAGACCAATGTCAGAAGCATCCACGCGCAAAATAAAAGGTCGAGTGTAGTCAGGATACGCCAAAACCGGAGGAGTCGTCAATAGCTCTTTGAGATCCATGAACGCCCGCTCACAATCCGGAGACCAAATGAAAGATGACATTGATGACTTCAGCAACGCTTGCAATGGTGTAGTGCGATCGGAAAGATGATCCACAAAACGACCAAGATACTGCACTTTACCCAAATAGCGCTGCACATCATTCACACACGTCGGAGTAGGGAACTTTAGAACAGCCACAAGTTTGTCAGGATCAACTTGCAAACCCTCACGAGAAATACAGTACCCAAGATAAGTTGTGTCCTTGGACCCAAACTTTGACCGCTTCAACTTTAAACCAACATCGCGTAGCCGATCCAACACTTTACAAACATCACGAACGTGCTCCTCCCACGTCCCCTCCGAGTGGATCAAGACATCATCAATGAAGTTAGCAGTCACCTCCGGCATATCGCAAAGAACCTCGTCCATCATCTGCTGGAAAGTTGTTGGAGCATTGTTCAAACCAAACAGCATCACCAAGAACTCATACAAACCAAATGGTGTATGAAAAGCAGTCTTAGGAATATTTTCTCCGGCCATCGGTACTTGCCAATACCCAGAAGCAAGATCTAGCTTGGTGAACCAACGACTTCGCCCTAGACGATCCAAGAGATCAGCAGGGTGAGGAAGAGGATACACATCTGGGATCGTCACTTCGTTTAACGGACGATAGTCGATGCAGAAACGAATACTCCCATCAGGCTTCGTCACAAGATGAGGTTCATATGCCCAAGGACTCTGCGACTTCCGAATAACACCCTTCTCCAGCATTTCCTTGACGTTTGCTCATAAAATCTTGATCTCCTTAGGTGACTGACGACGAACAGGAACCTTGATTGGACGAGCATCCCCGGTTGGAATCGGATGACGTGTGGCAATCTTGGCCCTAGACGATAGGTCAAATTCAAAGAGATCAGAATACTCCTTCATGAGCTAGTCAACTGCTGCAACACAAAGATCGTCGGAGGGATCGGAAAAGGGAAAAGTAGAACAAGATGGAAACACAGAAGGAAAGAGTGGGGGAACAAAAGTAATGGAAGCAAAGGTAGAAGTAGAGGGACGAAGAGGTATGGAAGTGAGAGGAATGGATGAAACATAAGGAAGTATGAGACAAAGGGGAGAAGCCTCAAAGTCACACTTAGCATGATTGCGCTGCAACCAATCCATACCAAGAATGAGGTCAAAAGCTTGACTCGGCACCACCCACAACGACTGCAACTCAAGCTCGAGATCGCCCACACGCACAACCAGGTCCACCTCATCCCGTGCACATACATGTGTACGGCCATTGCCATAAAGAATGAAAACTGGTTCTGCCGCACGACACAAGTGTAGACGACAACGTGTGGCAACAGGTCAAGCAATAGAAGATAAACTCGAACCTGTATCAACCAACACAGAGAGAATAATAGGAGACCTCTTGTTATAAAAATGAGCTTGGAAAGTAAACACTGGATGAACTGGTGCCGAGTGAACCCCTTGATGATACTCTCGAAAGAAAGATGGAGGGGTCACTGATTTATTCTCGCAAGGTCCCTCCGTTACTCGCACGACTCCTCGTTTCCCGGATGCATCTCGGTGTCTAGACCTTCCACTGCAGCAGCACCCACGGGACGTTGCTGATGCCAAGGTCTCCACCCAGGAAATGGAGGTCGCCAATCCGGAAAACGATGGCAACGCTGATAAGTATGACCAACTTCATCACACGCCCAACAGCGAACATTACGGCCACGACCACGTCCTCGCGCTTGTCCTTGGACTCGAGTAGCAGCAGCATCAACCTCCATTGGAACAGGACCAATCACCCATAGGAAGTGGAGCGGAAGGACGTGCAGCGAGAAGTGGAAAAGGCAATGTCTCATAACGTTGTGCCAAGCGAAGAGCATCGTCAAGGGTGGCAGGAGCAAGTGCATGCACAAGGCCGACAAGATCTTGATGAAGTGCTGGACACAACATTCCTAGCTTGATCCGCTCCAACATATTTGGCTCCGCACGAAGCAAAAGACTTCGGAAACAAACGCCAAATTGTATCACCGACTCAGATGGCCCTTAGCGAAGATGATGCAATTGTTGGAAAGCATCATCACAATCATCGGCATGTCCAAAGGCGCGTTTGAAGACGTCCGGGAGAACACTCCAATCCCCACGAGTGGTTGCGCTCAAACCATTGTACTACTGCAATGTCGTCCCTTGGAGACACGTGGGAAACTCACGCAACCGTCGAGCATCATCCCAAGAATGATATGTGGCAATCACCATGAAGTGATCGAACCAATGGTACACATCATCCCCAGGATTCCCACGAAAGAACTCTGGCCGAATGCGAGGATTGGCACCAAGAGGAGGAGGAGTTGTACCACGTGCCGTGAACGCCGCCATTAACTGAGTTTGGCTGTTCAATTGCAAGCGCATAGCATCAAGCAATTGTACCAACTACTGCTCTAGAATCAAAGGAGGAGATTGCTGATCTGCCATGAAGATGAACGAAAAAAAAGAAAGAGCAAAAGAAGAGAAATGACAAAAAGCTAGAAGGAAATGGTAGATCTAGACAATGCAAAAAGCTAGATCTAAACCAAAACCCTGAAAAGAAAGAACAAAAGAAAGGAAATGGAAAAAGCTAGATCTAAACAATGCAAAAGCTAGATCTAAAACAAAATCCCAAATTCAAGCACTCCTCAGGGGCAATCAAAGGTGCCCTTCAACTCCACCAATGTGAGTGCTTGGAATATGGAAAGGGAATATAGAAATGTGCATATCAATTGGCCCAAAAACCCTAGCTTATATACAGGAGTGAGTGGTCCAGATTGAAACCAATCCGACGGCTACCAAAATCCCACTACGCTAATATTAGTATACGGCATCGTAACCGTACACTTGGCCCTCACAAAAGTAATTATCTTCTAAGTGGGTTCCAAAAGTATAATAGGGAGAGTATGGAAGTTGAATTTTAATGGAACTAGTTTAGCCAGGAAAGGCTAGTGTGATCAAAGAAGTTTACATCTATATAATGGGTAATGATATAACTACTAAAGAGTCCAAAGCTAGAGTGAATATAAGTTTTAAAAAGTTTATAAATTATGAATATGTGATATATCAAGGATACTTTTGGGTGTTTATAGCGTAATGGGACACATAAAGCACTTAAACCAAGTGTAAAGATGGTGTTACTTTGAAGTCACCCTTCGGAGGCTAGCAAGTCCCCAAGTTGGAATGAGGAATTATAAAGGTTGTGAGTGAGACTCCTTTATAGGGTCAAAAGTGTGGTTAAATAATTAAATTAGAATAAAAAATTAGTCATTTATAATGTGGCATCAGAATTGTTCCTTAATCTAACTTTTATTAGTGATTAAATATATCAGTATTGGATATTAATATTTAAATGTCCTAAGAGTGGGGGTATACTTAGCTTTGTGGCATTGAAGTTGAGCTGTAATTCCATACATGGCATTGAGGTGGAAAAATATGCATATATGGCAAGATAAAAATGCATGTTTATGCATGATCATAAATGAAAATAAATTGCTATGCATTGTATGTAGCAATGCTTGGTTTGCTTAATAGTAGTGTTATTATTACTTATTAATTCAATTGATCAAATAAAATTTATAATTATAAGCATGTTTATAATTCATAAACATAAGATTAATCTTATTGCATATCAACTATTAGATGATAGAATAAAAAAGGATATGCTAGAAAAGGTTTAAGAAAGTTTATAAATTAAGTCTTCACCTAAAAAGAAGCCAATCCTAATCCTGGTGCTATATAGGTTTCCTCTTGGGGCAAGTGTTAATAACAAATTGATTGTCATATATACCATATGTGGTGGGGCAAGTGTTAATAACAAAATGATCACCATATATAAGGAGACAAAAGAATGTTCACAATTGTGGGATTGGTTGGTGCTATTCAAATATACCAAAACTTTCTTATTGCTCTCGATGAAAATGACTTATCATTTTCACATATGGCCCAATGATATGTCCATCCATCAGTTTTCAATTGCGTGTTGAAACTTCAACAGCCATATTGTTTCATATTTTCCACGTTTGCTTTGGTAACAAGTCTCGTGTACGTTCTAATACAGTAACAAGCCTCACACTTTATAAGAAGAGCTTATCGAAAGAATATATGCACAAACATTTGATGGATTTGCTAACCTTACCTTCTTGTGCTCCCCATGCCCATGGCATTGCAATCGATGATCATAGAAAACTGGGAAAAGTGGGCTTGAAGCTTTCACAACTTCAAATGAAGAACAAGGTAGGAGTGCTTAAAATGTTGGCTGAAAAGCCCCATTGTTGTGTTTCCTTGCAGCGGGCTTTGATGCCATACCTCACCGCTGGCTGCCCAAGTCTTGATACTACTGCCGACGCACTCCGGCTGCTAGCTGCCGGAGGTGCCGATGTGATCGAGCTTGGAATCCCTTGCTCAAATCCTTTCGCTGACGGTCCAATAATACGCGTAAGATTTCTACAATCATCGTTCTTCTCTATTTCTTTTTCTAATGTTTTTTTCTCTCTTTGTCAATGGTTCATCCAGAATTCGGTTACGAAGTCGATGGAAAACGGCACGAATCTAGACTCTGTTCTGTCCATGGTCTGCGAGGTTGCACCGACGCTGTCTTCGCCACTGGTTTTATTGACGTACTTTGAGACCATAAGCGAGTGTGGTGCTCAACGTTTCTTTCGAGACATCAAGGCAGCTGATGTTTCTGGTATGAAACCTCTCGTTCATCGCAACGAATTTTACATCTTGGAGATTCTTCAGGCCTTATCGTTCCGGATCTTCCAGCCGAAGAAACTCGGGCGTTTGCTCTGCTAGCCGCAGACTACGACATTGAGCTCGTGAGAAACATTTACACTAGAATCTTTTAGAACCTTGCTTTGGAAGTTGGAACTCATGAATCACTTTGGATTTGGGACAGGTACTGTTGGCTACACCCACGAGTTCCAGGAGAAGGTTGCAAGAGATAGCGGCACTCTCACGGGGCTTCATTTATCAGGTGAGCTCTTCGACTTTTCTTACTTAAATCTTGTGTGTAACATCTCATGATGCAATCCAGGTGAGCTCCACCGGACAAACTGGGCCTCGTCCCACTGTCAACGGCCAAGTCGAGCTCCTTCTGAAGGAGTTGAAAGAGGTTTGCTATCCACAGTGCCGGAGTTCTTCGTGCTAATTCGAGTGTACCTGCCACAGCTTACCGACATTCCCATCGCTGTTGGGTTTGGGATCTCAAGACCCGAGCATGCAACGCAAGTAAGAACAAGAACAAGAGCAACATCTCGTAGAACTCTCTAATCTCACTTCGTGTAGATTGCCAAGTGGGGGGCCAACGGAGTTATCATCGGGAGCGCTCTAGTGAAGACACTCGGTGATAGGAGCTCACCGCGTCCTCGTCTCGAAGGCCTGGCTCGAGCTGGAGATTTGATCGCTGAGTTTCGACAAGCTCTAGACCAACAATCTCTGATCCAGCCGCTTCCAGAGAAGAATAACATGCTTTCGATTTGATTCGCGTCATTGTGAGTGGCTTTCTCTACAGGATTTCCAAACCATGACGACGATGAAGCAACAGTGTACAGGTGCATTTTTTTCTCGAGAAAACTTCTAGTGGAGGCGGTCGAGCTACTCGCTGGACGATTCTTTGTCCTCGTCGGGTGAAGAAGAGCTCTCGGGCGTTGGGTCTTTCTCCTTGCAATTCTGGACCACCAAGAGCGTGAACAGAGGCTCGGCTATGACAATTATCTCGTGAAGCAGCGTCTTTATCCTCAGCATCTGGAGATCATTCTGGGGGTCGAGCTCGCGAACGCCGCTGCGAGCCATGGCTGCCAAGCTCGGGATCTTCGTCGCATACTTGAAAGCCAGATCCTAGTAGACACAAGGTGGGAGAACTCCTTGATCCGGATGTGATTGATCTCTCCTCTTACCTGAGGCAGTGTAGTTCGCAATACGTTTCCATTCGCTGCTACAATCATTGTTCCAATCACATCCTACACAAGTCGAAGTCCAATAAGAAATGCCTGTGCGATCGAGCAATCTCCATACCCGCAAGCCATTGATTCGACTCAATGCCCCTTGAGCTTCACTCTATGAAAGATCCTCCCTGTGAGAATCAAAGAGGGAAAAAAGAGAGGGGAAGTCACGCACCATGATAGTAGCATGGCTCCTCCACGGAATTTTAGGGCTCCTGGTGGTTAGCCGATTCAGCTGAAAGTACGAGCCACGTCGGATTTGCCACTTGGCAAGGGAAGCGGAATGGACGGCCACGATCTCCTCCAATTCATACTTTCCATTTCGTAATGATCGCGACGAGAAGCGGCGGTGGCTTGATCGGTGGTGCTCTCACATTCACAGGGATTCGCTTTTCTTCGCGACCCAAGAACAGCTCTTCGCCGCCTCCTACGAAGAACGGTGACAATGGTGCTCTCGACAAACTTAGCAGCACCAATCACGATAAGCTCGCCCCGAAAGATTTCTTCTCTTCGATCATCTCACTCGCTTTCTGTGACCGTGTAGCTGCCGAAGGAGAAGAAGGCGTCCACGATGATCATCTCAAACCGGATCCAAATGTATACGACAAGTACCTCTCGAATCCAAAAGCCACATCTCAATTCAGGTCCCAAGTGCTGCGAGCAAAGGCCTCCGTCCAAAAGTTCTACGAGTGACACCACCACCACCTCGCTAGAGAGGGTTCGTTCTAGCTGCTCTTGACTGCTCGCGAGTTGAGCTTTGTTTCGTCCATCACCATTTCTTCTCGGCCATGGAGAAGAGCTGCTTGAAAAACGAAAGTCAGCCAAGCTAAAGCACCGTTCTGGTTTCGTGTACCTGGCGAGCACCTTGCATTAGTCTCCGGCTATCCCGAGAGGAAGACTCGGGCACCGAGGCCGATTTCTTGTCCGCTCGACCGGCCTTTCCCCGAGCTCGTTTGCTCCCGACCATCAACCGGGTCAGCTTCTCCGACGTAGAAATCTGCCTGCTCTTCCGCTTGGAGTTTCGCTGCTGCCGCGCAGAGGCCGGCCTCTTCCTCTCGCTCGAATCCCCGTTCTCGACCGAGGCGTCGTCGTCGTCGTTGTCCTCCTCGTCCTCGCTCTTATGCTCGTCCGCCGAGGCCTCGGGCTGCCGCTGCCGCTCCTCCGCAATAGATCTCGACTTCCTCTTCCTCTTCCGTGTGCTGACGTTGGCGGCGACGCTGGCGTTGTGGCTTGGGCTCTCGCGCTCGTCACCCTCCAGCTCCTCCGAGTTTCTCAGCTTTTCCGAGAGCGAAGAACAATCGTTGTCTTGGTCGGACTGTTCGTTGTTGTTCTTGGGCTGCTGCATCACGTCGCAGGCCACACCGGCTATGAGCGCGAGGCTGTCGGACATCTCCTCCTGGTTCACTGTCGCCTCTCCAGAGTGGGAGTGCTTTACTCCTCCTCCTCTTCCACTCGTACATTCTCCCCCACCTTTTCTCTTGGCACGCCTCAGCGTCTCGTGCAAAGCCGCGACTTTGGCCTCGGCATCGTCGGCTCGTCTCCTCTCAGCCACGAGGAGCTTCTCGAGATCCAAAATCTGCAAAGAAGAAAAGCAAAAGCTCCAAGAGCTTCAGCACAGCACGGGGATTTCTAGCGAGAATTACCTACATCACCTGAGAATCAGTGTGATGCTTGAGCCGGAGCAGCATCGACAAGGCTTGCTCCTTGGCGCCGACGAGCTCCTGCTCCAGAAACGCCACCTTCCTCTCGGCAGCGACTAATCTCGACGCCGCCTCCTTTCCCAAATGCGACACCACGTCGCTGGCCGCCTCCTTGAGTGACGACGCAATCCGGGCCTCCACATCTCTCACAAACTGCTGGAGAATGTCTGTGACTCTGGATTCCGCAGCCCTAATCAGAGGCTCGTCCCCCTGTGAAAGAGATGCTTGAGAGAATGAGAGAGATGGACTTCTACCTGCGCGAGCATGGATTGAGGCTCCGAGGACGCCGAGCTCGTGCTCCCTTCGCTTCGAGCTGCTGCTTCCATAGAACCCTAAAACAAAGGGCAAAAATCCCTAAAATCTCCTCTTTAGCCCTAATTCTTCGAATGTGGGAGCCGAGGGCGCAGGCACAGCGCCAACGCCAGCGCCATCGCCATGACGGGGCAAGCGGAGCTCAATCTCAATGGCGCCAACGACACCAAGGGCGTGGTGCTCCTCCGCGACTCCATGCCGATCTACATGAGGGAATTCATCGCCGGGGGCATCGCGGGCGGCTTCGCCAAGACCGCCGTGGCGCCTCTGGAGCGTGTCAAGATTCTTTTCCAGGTACTTGCGAATATTTCTCTTCTTTCCACTCTTTGTTTTGGAATCGACGAGGACTTTTTTATTTTTTATTTTTTTTGTGGCAGACCCGGCTTGGCAATTTCCAGAGCATGGGAATTTTGCGATCGTTGAGACACATTCATAAGACCGAAGGCTTCTGGGGCCTCTACAGGTGCATCGCGATTCTTTTCTGTTTTGCTTCTGTCTGTTTGTCCGAGAAAAACGAAAAGAAGTCTTCTTCCTGCTAGTTTGATTGGAAGTCATAGATTATTGGTCGAAGGTGCTTTGTCTGGACAAAGATTTGTCCTCGCTTCCTTAATCTATGTTGCATTGAAAGCCTAGTTTTCATGTTTTAGCTGACTGGATGGATGTATTATTGAGAGTGTTTTTCTCTGTGCTGTGAAGCTGACGTTGTGTATTTTGGCAGAGGCAACGGAGCAGCCGTGATAAGGATAGTTCCTTACGCGGCTTTGCATTTCATGACGTACGAGAGATACCGTCAATGGTTAGTCGACAAGTGTCCCTCTGCCGGGCCTTCCGTTCACCTTTTCGCCGGATCTTTGGCAGGAGGTACCGCTGTTCTTTGTACATATCCTTTGGATCTTGCTCGTACCAGATTAGCTTACCAGGTTGCATCGTCGCTGCATCGTAGCATCATACTTAACTTCCCGCTCTTGTGTCACGCAGGCGACAAATCCGCACGCTACTTATAGCGATCTTGGTAGCGTCTTCCAATCGGTGTACAGGCAAAGCGGGATCCGTGGGTTGTATCGTGGACTATGTAAGAGCCTCCAGCAACCTCCAGAGCTTCCTTCATTCTAATCTCGATTTCCAGGCCCAACGCTGTATGGAATTCTGCCTTACGCGGGGCTCAAGTTCTACCTGTACGAAAGCCTGCAAGGTCATCTGTCTAGCGAGCACGAAAACTCTCTCTTCGCGAAACTCGCGTGTGGAGCGGTGGCGGGTCTGGTGGGACAAACTTTCACGTATCCCTTGGACGTTGTTCGGCGGCAGATGCAGGTAAAGCTTTAGCAACGTTGTCTTGCTTTGTGACGATTGATTTTCTTTTCGAAACACAGGTCCAGCCAGCACCCGCGAGTGGGACGCAGGAGAAAGCATTCAAGGGAACCTTGGACGCTCTCTCTTCGGTGGTGCGGAACCAAGGCTGGAAGCAAACGTTCTCGGGTGTGACTATAAACTACCTCAAGGTCTGGCTGGGTCCTTCTCTGTTCTTTCATTTTTTATCTTCGTCGCTGTAGATCGTACCTTCGGTGGCGATTGGATTTGTGGTTTACGACGGGATGAAGCTGTGGCTGGGAATTCCTCCTCGCCGGAGGCCGCAGAAGGAATAGCTACTGTAGAGCCGAAGTTTTGTTAGACGACACGGAAAAACGCAAAAACAAACTGGTTAAATGAAATATTTACAGGCTTTGGTTTAACCCATGGTGTTCTAAAAAGCGCGATCAAATGCCTGAGCGGTGTGACGATGAAGGGATTGCTTTTGGGCGATCCAGGAAGACGAAGATCATTATCGACGCCGATCCAGGCATCGGTAAGAGCTACTTTTTTCTTTTTTCTTCGGTTTGGGCTTTGGTTTTTTTATACTGTGGTTTGTTTTCAGATGCAGCTATGGCGATCATCATGGCTCTTCGTTCCCCGGAAGTGGAAGTGATTGGAATCACAACCATCTTTGGAAGCGCCCACACTCCCGATGTGACAAGAAACGCTCTCCATCTGGTTTCTTTGTTTCCCTTGTTCTTTTATCCTTGGTTGTTTCTTTTCTCCTATAAGTATATGACACTACGATCTACCAGCTTGAAGTGATGGGATCGACACATGTACCAGTCGCGGAAGGAAATATCAAGCCTATGGCAGTAAGTTCTTGACAAGTTTTTGTTTGTTTCTCTCACCTTAAGGCTGGACTTTGCAGGGAGGAGTCCCATACATTCAAGACTTTGCAAATGGCCTGGATGGGCTTGGAAACATTGCCACGGCAGACCCAGCCACGAAAAAATCTGCGATGAGTGCATGCGACTTTCTCGTGGACACAGTCTCGAAGTATCCAGGGGAGATCACAATTGTCGCACTTGGACCGCTTACGAATCTCTCCCAGGTGTAGATTTTTTCCTTGTGGCTCTTGTGACGCCTCTTCTCTCTTTCTTGAAGGCGTTTCAAAAGGAGGAGTGTGTTGTGAAGCTGGTCGCTCGTGTAGTTGTGCTGGGAGGTTCCTTTTTCTCGAGTGGAAACGCGAATCCAGCGTCAGAAGCCAATGTAAGTCCTTACGGTACTTGAGAGTGTGTATGTTGCGTTGATTGATCGTGACACAGGTAATTTGTGATCCAGAGGCTGCCGACATGGTTTTCTCGTCCGGAGCTCGCATCACCGTGATTGGAATCAACGTCAGCACTCAAGTCGTTTTGGACGGTGGAAAATTATCTTTGTTCAAACACTGCACGGTTTCTAAGCTTTCTCCATTCGTATTGGCAGGGCGCGACTTGTCCAAGCTGAGTGACTCCTCAACGGAATCTAAAAGGTCTCTGCACGAGATGTGCAAATTCTACAGAGAATGGCACAAGAAGTCGGATCTCTTCGATGGTAAAAGCTATTCTTGTTTGTTCTCAAACCAGACGGCATTCGCAGGCATATATGTTCATGGCCCTACGTGTTTGGCTGCTCTGATCGCACCATCCTACTTTTCCTATAAATCCGGAGCCTTGCGGGTGGAAACTTTGGGAGTTTGTAGGGGGTACACACTGTTCGACATGGGACTTAAGAAGTTTGTTGTTTCTCCATGTCTTTCTCACTTCTGTTGCCAAGTATAACGAGCTTGTCACTGTAGGTGGAACGGCCTGAATCCGTGGGTTGGGAGGCCCCATGTCGATGTGGCCTGGACCGTGGACGCACCAAAAGTTCTCGAGCTCGTCCTAGAGAGACTGATCCATACAGATACTTGAAATAAAATCATTCGCGAATTAACTGTTGTTGTTTGCTCTTTGCAGCTTCTAGAAAGCTTTTGTGAGACTGGAAGCAACCAGCGAAAGGCTAGGTACATTTTTTTTTTTCTTTTTCTTTCTTAAACTCTACTTGTGTTAGATGGCAGTAGAGCAGATTACAAGGATGTTGTAGGCAGCCAGAGAGAAACAAATCTTCCCTCGAAAAAGACTGCTGCCCCGGAACTCCTGGCTATATTTTACATTGCTTTCCGGCTCGGTCAGACTACCTTTCACAGAAAGAAGAAAAAGAGAAGAATGTACAAGACGTGATCGAGTGAATGAGTGAGCACTTCGGTCTTCACTTCCGGAAGGAACTAATTTGTTTTGCCTGTCAATGGTTTTGAACCTCAGAACACAGGTATGGCCGATACAACCTGCCAAGAAAGAAGAAAGAGAGGCTGAGAACAAGGAACAACGACTGGAAGGAATACTTCCACGCACCTCAGAGTCGTTGCTTTGCTGCTGATTGCCGAGGCCCTTGCTCGGCTCCGTGAAAGCGAGAAGGTTTTCGTTCGCCTTGGAGAAGCTCCACAGTCTCTTGAGCTTGGAGTCCTCCAACACGTCCACCTCGGCTAGGAAAACTGCGGACACGGGGCGGTGGTCGGAGAACCTGGACTCGGATCTCCGGTACTCGAGCTGCCTCAGTCCTTTCCCGTACCAAAGTATTCGATCGCACCTATATACAGGTAGCACACAAAAGTTTATATTCTTTCCTTTCATGCCACGGATGAGAGCTGTGATTCATTCTTACCAGGCAGGCGTTCTTCGTTTCTCGCCAGCTTTGAGCAGCAGGCCAGAGTATCGGTCGGAGTTAATCACGTACTTGTAAGTTGGCGGGAATTCAATGCAGCCCTCTTGCCAGCCATCGAAAACTCTCCCTGCCATCTTCTCCGTCCTCAGCTGCAAGGCGAGAGCAAACAACAAGTATAAGAAATCCAGCTCTGGGCCGCGAAGAAAAGTAAAGCACGGTGCACACGTTACCTGGTCGCGCCGCAGAAGCGTTTGCCAATCTCGTCTGGAAATGAGCAGCCGGGTCTGAGCATCCGGCAGAGCTATCCGATAGTTGAGGTCGCCGAGCCAGATGATCCGACTGAAAGAAGACAGAAAGAAAAAGGAGAAAAAGTTAGTGCTTTTTGTTTGTCAATGAATGAATGAATGAAGAAGAAGAATGCGAGGATATGGATATGGGGAATGGATTCGAGGGAACTCACTCGTGTCCCATGATTGTCTCTGGCATCTCGGGCCAGGTGAGCTTTGGGCGATGGAAACACGTTCGGCGGAGAATCTCCGTAACGTCGGCATTCCTGCGCAGCTCGTCGCCCTCCCTCTCTCCCGACGTGAGATGCGAGCACACGAAGCAAAAGCTCGTCTCGTGCACGGACAAGCTCACCGCGATTGATCCCTGCCCAAGAACAGTCAGTTCTTCCTCCTCCTCTTGCTAGCTAGGCTAGATCACTCAGGCAAATCAAAGAAGAAAGAAACCAAGCAATGCAAACTCCCGAGTCTATCGATCAAGACGAGAGCCAAGCAAGAGTTCTCACCTTGTTGCCGAGATAGCCCATCAATCCACAGCCCACGCTCGAGACCTTGATGTTGCGGATCGCTGGCTGGATGCCCGCGCGAGCCCACACCGAGATGAAGATGCCCACCATCTGTTTGCTCGCAATGCGCAGGTATCGCGTCCCCTGCTGCGACGGAAGCGCCGCCTCGTCCTCGTCCGACAGCGCGGTGGCGAACCATCCATCGCCGTTGGTGGGCATCACCACCATGTTTCTCTTCTTGGACGATCGCCGCTTGTTCTTCCACGAGGAGGATGGCGGCGCCGCCGCCGGCGGTGGGAGGGTGATCATTTGATCGGCCACCAGCGCGAGGTTGACGCGATCCACCGAGATGCTGCGGCGGTGGTGCGATGCCGCGGGCGGGACGATGGGCGATTTGGAGCGATTGAGCGCGCGGCTGATGAGGTTGTCCCACTTGATCGTGGCGGCGCCCTCGTGCTCGCCCCCAAGAACGTTGCCAGCGTTTAGCGGGACTACCTCTTGGAACCTGGTGGAGCACAGCGGGATTTTTCTTAGTAGGAGCTCGGGAGCTGCCGGTCGAGATGGATGACGAGAGAAGAGTTTCTTCTTCCATCGGTCACTTCGAGAAAAGAAAAAATCACTCACCCAATCACGTAGATGTCGGCTAGTTCCTCCTCAGTTGTGGCGCCCAGCCACGATTCCACGTCCAGATCGCTGGGTGGGCTTCGTCCAGCAACATTCCATGTCGCGGTCATCACTCTAGCGAGACATTGAAGAGCAAAAGCGAGGAGATCGGTCATCAAGCACAGAGTGGCATTAAACAAACAGAGTTTTTCTTCGTCTTCTTACTTGATTTCCTCGATGTTGATGTGATCCGAGAAGAGCGTCTCGGAAATTCCACGCACCAGCATCACCGGGACTTCGCGAGGAGCAGACCCATCTGCAAGAACTTCCCATCGATCACAAGCGAGAAGAGAAAAACAAAGGCATACCAGTTTCATAGTCGCTCATCACCTCGTCGGAAGAGCAGCTGAGCGCTTCGTGATCCCCGGAGGACTTGAGCAGCCTCCGGATCAGCTGTCGCGGCCAGAAATCACTCCGCTTGGCTCCCATTTCGTCTCACGGGGAAGAGAGACAAAAACAAAGTGCGATGCAAGGACCGACTGGATCTTACTCTTTGAGGAAAGATGAGGAAAAAGAGACCCCCTGCGTGAAAGAGAGAAAGATCTTTAGAGACCAAACAAAAATCCGAATCATCACATCGGTTCTTGTCTGTCTTCCATACCTTGCTCCAGAGCAGAAAAACAAAACGATCCGGAAGATCGCTGCCGGGACCAAATGGTGGTGTTGTCTATCCACCCAGCAAAATCAGCCAAGAACACGCAGGGAGGCCACAGCGATGGCTGCCACGGCTGTCGTTGGGTACCACTACAATGATCCAAAGGGAGGAGATTATCTTAGCGCGCGAAAAGAAATCGCCCAAAGCTCTGGTTCTTCGCTCGAGATCTTATAGTTGCGGCTGGTTTGTCCTTCTGAAAGGGAGATGATGATCGAGGGAACAAATGGCAGGGGATTTCTGCCACTGGGTCTCGGATCCGGATACTCCTCCGGCTATTGCGCGAGCGTGATGGCGATGGATCGATCAATCTCGATCGGTATCTCGATCGTCCTCGACTGACACAGCGGCACAGCGCACACCTCTAAAAAGCCTTCCAAGCGCTCAGGACGTCCTATCCTCTCTGTTCTTCCCCCAAATCGACAGACAAAGAGAAATCAATCAGAATCCACTGGAAGGAAAAGAAGAGCGCGCCAGAAAAGCTCCCTCCTCGATCGCTCGCTCGCTCGCCCGCTTAGATGGCTACGACTGTGTCCCATCTCTCGGTGGCGTCCGCTCTCTTCCATCCAAAGTCCGTGCCTTGTGCCATAGATCGATCGATCAGAAGCAAAATGTGGTCTCGCTTGGCTAATCTTTCGGCACTTGTGGATGAATCAATCTAGCACGCCCTCTCGATGGATCCATCCCATGGATCGAAAGGAAGAACTATTGCTAGCAAGGAAAAAAAGCTCGATCCAGACAACTAGACAAACAAAACTCTAAGCAGTGCCATAGAACATATACTTATGCCCGTTTTCTATGTGCGTTCCGGCTGGCAATGGGATGGGAATCGAGCGCGAGACCTCTCGCTCCCAGGCATATTCCGGCCTATAGTTTCTCTAGAGAACATGGGTAGCCATTGACGGAGAGTCGGTCGGGTCTCATGTAAGTTTGATGCTCATGGTAAAATAGAAGGGTTAAAGAAGGCCTAATTACCAACATAAAAAGGTGGCCTAGTCCTTAACCCAGGTTGGCCCTGGTGATTGAATGCACGTTGATTTCACCAGATTCTCATGTGAAAAGCCCCACTCGTTCTGATTTGATGCTTCAGTTCTCGCGTACGGGACTACCACCACCACCCTGACCCTGTTAGGGTTCTATCTATCTCCTTTGCTCGTTTCCTAGCCCAATCGTACGGGGCGGACACAATTCCTTAGGTGTGAGACCCAAGGCCCGGTCATGATTCAAATCTCCTCCCCGCCCATCCATCGATTCCATCCCCTTCCATTCCCATTCCACGATTTCCATCCTCCGGAGGGGTGGCAGCCATCGCTCTCCGCGCATTGATTCCGGAATTAGGGTTCCTGGCGCGGTGAAAGTGTTCGGTTGAGACGGGCGCTGTACGGACGCCGTGTGATTGTGCTGGCATAATGTCACCACCAACCTTTCATCATCCCCTCCCACCAGCTTAGAGGCTGTGTGTGTGAGTGTGAGAGAAAATGATAATCGTCTAAGCTATTGTATGATCGATCAGCATGTTCTCTCCTTGTCATGATCCTCTTGTTTATACTTTTAGTTTAACAACCAAAGGTAATATAGTGAGTAGTTTTCCCTTTGCCTCGAAACCATTGCAAAACCAAATCAACCGATCCTTCGGAACCGAATGAGGCGGTGGGTGCCCGCTTTTCTTGTTTTTACTGGAAACGCAGGGCAAGCGCCACTCAGCACTTCACCTGAGAAAATAGAAAATAGAAAATACACAATTATACACAATTGAGACCATAACCATGAAGTGAATCCTCAGGATATTATTCTATGCTTCTCAGTTGAGAGATTAGGTGGCATCTAATTTGATCAAAAAGCATTTCCTATGGTTTCTTGTAGGCTGGGTGGACGATGACGATGCGAGGGATCGGGCGAGCGTCGAGGTCCCCGCGCGCGTGTGCTGTGTGTACGTGGGACGTTCTCAGTCAAGGACGGACGGTCGTGATAGCATGGCCAGACATGGCCAATCATGATGATGGCAAATCATCAGCATCCATGGGTCATGATGTCATGGGATGGTATATCACTCATGCCCATGCCATCTCACCCATAACCCATGGCATTTTCAAGCGAATCTCCTCTCGCGCGTCACCAAATTCGATTGATCTTGCGAATGATTTCCAGGTCGCTGTAGGAATCCCCACAGTGGAGCGCCAAAATGTGACCTCTGCAAGGCCCTTTTGAAGCTTTACGCGCGTTGTTCTCTGCCATGTCCAAGTGTCTTACTGCGAAAAAGGGGCGCTTAGACTTAGACGGTGATTTACTCATAGTTTTTTCCGATGCTGGTCAAATTTGCAATCGTTTGCTGTCGATCGAACGCGGTCGCCGCAGAGGCGCAAAGGGGCAGGCAGTGGGAATCACACGCACGCCAGCAACAAGCAGCAATAACGAATTTCTTTTTTCCGCTCGTTGGTTTGCATTTGCATTTGCTTGCTTTCCGCACATACACCTGGATCATCTGGAAACATCCTCAATCTTCGTGGCTGGTTTCCAATGCCTGGGAAACAAAAAATCCTCCCACCACTGGATGGAAAAGTATTGGAATTTGTGAGAAGTTTCCACCGCCATCTATCCAGCCTTGGAGCAAAAGTCTAGCAATCCTCCAGACAGGGAGATAGAATAGGGGAGCTTTGCTTTTGTCTCTTTTCTCATGCTCGGTGGGCCGCCGCCACCTGGCCCGACAATTTTTGCGGCGCACTCGCCGGGAACCCGCCGGTGGCGTCGGCTGGAAACTCGACAGTCTCCGCAGTGATGTAGGCTTCATGCCAGACATGCCATGGCACATGCATGGGTCATACAGGAGACCCATACATGCATGCATGCATGCACACATGGAAGGGAATATTATCTAACGGGCAAATGCCCCTGGATATTCTCGTTTGAACCGGGCTTGACCCACGAGTGATTGATTGATACGAACCTTTACACTTACAAAAATGGGCCTTCTTTTTTGGTCTCCAATCTTTTTGTAGCTGATTGATGCCTCGAGCGAGGGGTTTCCCAAAGCCCCAGGTTTCTAGATCGAGATGATTAAGTTTCTTTGCTTTGCTCCTGCAAAATCTTCTCGAATCACAAGAGAGAGATTCAAAGCTTGAGGAGGAGGATGAGATCACGGCTCGAGTAATGGAGAACCCCGGATTCCCTGGTGGAAGTGCAGGAGTGTGTGTGTGTGTTGAGTCCCAGTCACGCAAAGCCTTGGAAATTCCCCAGATTGGGCAATGTGAGGAGAGAAAGAGATGGATTTGGAGTATATATCTTTTGTTAATCCTTGCTGAGGACCCCCTGAATCCTTGCCTGGCACAACGGGGACTGCCCGCGTGCTCCATCCCTGTGGCTCGCTTGAGCTCCAAGCTCTATCTTTTTCCGGCGGTGGAATCAGAGCTCTCACACCCCTTTTGACCGACAGCAGCGCAGAGTTGTCTTGTTGTTAACTTCTACGATGCAGAGAAAACCGCTACAAACTCCCATTGCTTTTGATAGATCATAGATTAGAGGTTTTTCTCGCCATCACTCTATCAAAGAGCCCGTGCACAAACAGTGCTAAGATATTAAGAGCTAGTTTTTTATGTGTTTGTGGGCTGGGCCATACAATTTGGATGCTTTAATTTGTTTAAGCCCCAGGACCAACTTTGAACGCTTTGTTTGGTGTGGTTGGGAGGCTTTCGTCGTCTTGGGGAAGAGATAAGGGAGTCTGTGTCAAAGCTCCGGGGTGGAATATGCGGCCTCGTCAGGACGTATGGTTTTCTAATCAGCCAAACGGATTAAGATAAGCGATGTTTAGTCCAGAACAGGGAGCTAGCATCAGCAAAAAGACTCGCCGGTTTTGAAAGATCTTTCGCTGGAAATAGACAAGGAGGATAGTGCTTATGTGTTGATGCATCCCAGTCAAATGGAAGAACAACATTAAAAAGAGTCATGAGTTGTGCTAAGAATTGTTCGAAAGCTCAATCTAAACAAACGCAAAGGAATCTTTCCATGGAAGAAAAACCCGATTGCAATTCATGACTTTGTCTCAGTGTAGATGGACAAAGAGCACTCAAAGCTACTGCAAGAACCGCAATTCTTATTGCGAGCACAAAGTTTTGGACATCTCCAGATCTTCAAATGTCCATTCCATCCTCACTAGACTTGGCTGGCAAAGCTTAAATTCGCATAGACATCCATGCTATCGTTAAGTTAACAAAGAGAAGTTCAGTGCAAAGTCACCGAGCTTGCATGATCCCATTGAACTTGAGCATTCAATAAAAGCCAGCAAAAGGCTTTTATTACCGCGTTTAAGTTTGGAGGACTCTTGCTTCGTCCCAAGTTCCTCGTCTCAAATTACTTTAACAACGAATAGTTACAATTGAAGTAGAGCATCTTAAAACCAAGACTTAGTCCAGGTGGAAGAAAACAAAAGCGCAAACAAGCTGGAATTGGTGTGCGTGCATCGCATTGTCATTGTCTTAGTGGTGTGGCAAATGTAAACTGAAAAAACTGGCCCATCGAGCTTGACACTTTTGGAGTTTGATGTATAAACTTCCGCCACGCTTGCGATCTAGATATGTTCCACCCTAGAACTAGCTTTATTTGCTTTCACTGTAAAGATGCTACAACCACAAGCGAAAAAATGGACTGGAGTTTTTTAGAACTTTGCAGTGAACTTGGACAATGAATGCCTGTCTTTGTTTAGCTCAAACATCCTGAGAACTTGATCAGGACGAAGGCTTGGTACAAACGTAAACAAAATTAATGTCGGGGTCAGAGATCCCGAGCAAGAAATCACACTCCCAGTTGCCATTCATTGGTATCGCACCTGCGTATGCTTCCGGGATGTACGCTGTGGTACCCGGTTTGGCTGTAAGACGGAACAAAGGAAACTAGAAATCTGGACAAGAAAAATGAAGAGAAGACGATCTTACGAGTGAGGTGAAGCACAACTTTCCAGTCGAATGCCGGGTGCTTGAGATGGTGCATCCTGAGGAGTGGCTCACCGTAAGTTATCTGTTTAAACACGGAGCTACCGATCAATTCTTTTGCAGCGGAAGTTTACGATTGAGCATACCAGTATGAAGACTCCTCCTGGTTTTAATACCCTGAGCTAAAAAGCTTGTTACGGGCACAAAGAACTGGAGTAAGGAAAGAAAACTAACCTTCGAGTCTCCTCCAGCATGAACCTGACGTCTATAAATCCATTCGATCCACACTGGCATGCACAGATCAAGGTCAGAAACTCGACAACTCACGAGAGCTCAAAAACAGCCATACTCACCAGCATGGAATCCATCAGCCCTGACAATGTATAAGAGCGTTGTTTACTTCGGTCAGAAAAGAAAGTAGAATACGAAATGGTTCGTTACCTTTGTCGATCACGGCATCGAAAGAGTTGTCCCCAAACACAGCCATGTTACGCACATCCATGGTCACATCTGAAAGAAAAGAAAGAGAGAAAACTGCGATTAGAACCAGCCACCAAGCGCGTCATAGCGAGCCGTTTAAATGGCTATACCAAGGATAGAAGATACAAGTTAGTTGAGGAATGTGGCCGTGCCTTTGCTGCATTTTCTTGATCACGACCGACGAGAAATCGATGTTTACGATCTCCTTGAATCCATTCAAAACCATTTCCTCGGAGAGAACTGCACGATAAGTTCCAAATATCCGGTGAGATTGTCACACAAGAGAAGAAGGAAACACAGGAAAAACTCACCAGCGTTTCCACAGCCAGCCATCAAAATGCGTGAATCTTTCTTGATATAACGACACAAAAGAGGCTTGAGCTCTTTGAATCGCTGATACCAATCAAAAGTATCATCTCCTTCATCCAGATACCTCTTATCCCAGTACTGGATATCGTCATACTCTCTCAAATGAGCCATAGCTCTCGCAACAATCCCACGCTGCTTACCAAACAACACAAAGATTCTAAATCAAAAATGGAGAGAAAAAAAAAACAACAAAGAACTACCTCAAGAACACGAACAAAGAAAGTATCCAATCCCTAGCTAGCAATCAAATGAACAATCAATCCAACCGTACCTCGCAGCAGCAGCAGCAGCGCCAGAGCTTGAATAAAAGCTTCTGTGCCGCGGTCGAAAGCGATTGAAAAAGCAAAGAGTTCGAAGGCGATGGCGCTCGCGAGTGATATTTATGGTGCCGCGACACGATCCAGTCGCGCCGACCGCTCCATTTCCATGCGCGCTCCTCCCGCCACAACCAAGCGCGCTTGGAACAAAACAATGCATCGGTTGAAGAAGACCGGCAATGGGGCGATCGGGGCCGTCGGCACCACCGGCATCCGACGGCCTCACTTGAGATTCCAATTGGACGGTCACAATTACCCCGAAAGGGACGGCTTCGATTGACCCACTTTTGTCTCTCCCGTGACTGGACACACAAGCTTGGCGTGAACGTGGACGACTCAACTACCACCACGTGTACCGCCACCTAATTCTTTCGCTCCCACACGCAGTACTCGTTGCCAAGAGCCGCGATGGCGAACTCGTCCGAGCTGGGTGCCATGTCACCAATGTCAAACCTGGGCCCCATCTTCACCACCAGCTTGCCGTCCGCCACGGACGCCACGTAGACGTCCTCCTCAGCCGCGATGATGCTGACGCTGGAATTAGCCACTACGTTGTTGCGCTTCCGGACCTCGAGAAGAGCTTTTATCTCGTCCTTGAGCCCCCATTCGTAGTAGTGATCATAGAACTATACATGTAAAAGGACAGTGTTAGAAGAAATCATCAAACGAAGAAGAAGAGTTCCCTGGACTTTGGAAGAACTTACGATGCATGGAATGCCGGGATGCGTGAGAATGTAGACATATCCAAGCATAACTTTGTCCGCTGGGAACGGCCAGTGCTTCTGCGTGGATCCGGTGTCGTGGTTGTCGATGAACGTCACCGCTTTCTGGGGCCAGTAGCCGATCACTCCAGCCGGCTTGTTGTTGGGATCTCTCAGCCTCCAAAACTGGTTCTTGACGGCCTCCTGGAGGATTCCTTTGGTCGTGAAGTCGAAAGCTGTGGAGCGATTACCGGTGGCATTGATCCAATCGACTACCTCCTGCCTGTGACTGTCCTGGTTATACTCGACGCTACCATCCGGACCATAGTTGAGGTTCGTCCAGAGTTCCCCAACCGAGAACTCCGGTGTGGTTCTCTCGATGTAGAGACCTGCGTAACTTCCGGCGTAGCCTTTGGAGAAATCAAACCGCCAACCATCGAAGCCAATCGTTTCCTTCATCCACTTCATCCAGCCTGCGAGGTCGTCCTGGACTCTGGGATTGGTGTGGTCGATGTCTGGAGCGGCACCAAAGTCTTCACCCGTGTCTGGAGCCCCAGAGCCGTCGCTGTATGCATAGTCGTCCTTTGTGATGGCCCAGGGTCCCCAGTCGAGACGCTCGTCCGGAGTTCCACCCTCGAAAATGCACCACACCCCCCGCTGGTCTTGAGAGTCCCCGCACCTATGGTTGATCACAATGTCTGCAATGCATCTGATGCCATGAGAGTGGAACTTGTCGATGACTTGCTTTAGTTTCTCTTCGTTCCCGTACTTTGACGCATTCAGGTCGTAGAGCCTTCCAGGCATGTAACCTGAAGAAACAAAACAAAAATCATCCACATCCACGAAAACGAGAGACACAAGTTCTTACCTTGTGGTGCCACAGAATGGGTTGCTGGAGGCAGCCAAATGTCCGTGACTCCAGCTTGTGCCAAGTCCTCTGCAGTGTTCATGAGCACATCATACCAGCAAGGGTTCCTCCATGACTCCCAATTAAATCCCTGGAACGCAACACAAAAGATCATAACTCGTTTTCGACCGAAGCATCACGACTACGTACCTGGAAAAGAACAACGTTGAGAGGATCGCACTTGATGTTGCCACCTCGCGACTTTGAAACTTTCTGTGGTTCAAACTCCGGTTGTGGTTCTCGCTCGACGACAGCCGGATCACCTTGCTTCGTTTCCAGAACTTCTTCCCGAGGCAGAGTGGCTGGATCAGCAGTACCATTATCGGCAACGTTCTCCAGGTACTCCTTTGTTTGCTGGATCTCCGCCTCGGCAACTTTCTTCAGCGACTCCGCCACGAGTTCCTTCGTCTCCTCTGACCTCTCGCTGGTTGGCACCTCGGATGTGGACTCCGTGGCTTTGCTCCTCACCCGACTTCGTCGATCCATGCACAACCTGTTGCTTGAATTCAACGACATCGCTCCCGGACTCTGGCAAATCAATCTGCTCTGAGGCAGGTGCTGCTGCTGTGAAGAACAGCACCTGATTCCAGCGAGCTTGTGAGCTCCTGGCATTAAACTTTTCACAGCGATCGCTTCCATCTCTGCTCGTCACGTCACACCCTCCTCGTCTATCTCCCTTCTACACTTTCCTCCTCATAAAATAGGTTCTAGTGTCTTCCGGGCGTCTCCAGTGAAGACACGAGTTGCATCCCGAAGACACGCGGCAATAGTCGAAAGACCCAAGTGGCGGGTAGCTGCTTGTCCGGCTTTTCATCTCCCAAAGCACTGTTTCCAAAACCTGGAATCTAAAATATCAGGCTTGACTGTATCATATCCCGCGATTCCCCCACCCATACCAAAGCAGCTCACGCTTTTCTTTTCCATCCAGCGGGACCACTTCTGTCTTTCCGTCCATATCACTTCACGACAACTCCGTCTTCTTTAGAGCTCCTTAGCTCGAATCCCAGATGTTTTGTTAGCAGCTCGAGTTCCTGATCTCTCCTTCCCGACTTGTTGGATTTTGGCGACGCTGGCCTTTGCTCCTGATGCTGCTCTTGCTTGTGGTCACGACCGCGGTGGTGATTCCCATTGCTAGAAAACTGTCGCTGCATTTCCTTGTCCATGACCATGTACGATGGAGATCGTTTGCCGCTTCTTTTACTGCTCCCAAGCTCGGCTTTCATGTCCTCCATGGTCTTCTTGAGAACCTCGTTCTCGGCGTGAAGCAAATGAAGCTCACGCTTCATTGACGAGCAGAGCTTCGCCACCTTTCCCAGCTCTGGAGGCTCGGGCTCTCTGATCAAGCCGGAAAGTGCCATGGCCTCGTCACTGTCAAGCACCGGCACTGTGCTCGTCGTGACTGTCCGCAGCCTGTTTAGATCTTCTGGAGACTTGACGCTCAGCTTGTCCACAACGAGAACCGGGAGCTTTTTAAACGAGAAGATGTCCGTCTCGTTTTTGAAGCTCTCGAGGATATCAGAATCGAGCTTGACTCGCCAGCGTACGCTAGCCACCGCATGACGACCCAGGGGAAGCGCAGTGTGAGCGACCAAGCTCCAGTTACCATTCCCGGGAGCCTGCGCTAGATGTCCAGTCTTGACACGGAGGTCGACAGGATGATCTTCAAAGCCCTGCTCGATGTTTGGAGCAGCAGCCTTGAGATGATCGTGCCGATGATCGTCTTCGACGTCTTCCACCATGACAATGCTGCTTCCCTCGGAAGAAGGCGGGCTGCTAGCTTTGAAAGTGCTCAAGGTGGCCAAGTCGGGCGAAATCTTCTCAGGAGTCCTTGGCATCACTTCGATCCCCGACCCAGGACCAAGACCCACACTAGCCTTACTCGATCCAAGAAAAGATCCTTCCTGCGGCTCTTCCTGGCCGCTGGCACTGTCCTTGATCGATTCTTGCTGCGCGATCGGGCTTGGCGAGACAGCGCTCTTCCTGAGACTGAAATTTCCCAGCCGGGGCTTCACCTGGACGGCCAAAGACGGCGTACCTTTGCTAGAGAGCTTGAATTCCGCGGCCATGACGAGCGGCGCGTCCGTCGGCGATCCCCACACCCCGAATCCACTCTTGATCAGCAGCGACAGCGGGCATTCTCCACTGTTAGGCCTGTACGTGATCCTGCAAGAAGGCCCTGTCTGGAATAGGGTTCCAAGATGGAACGCGAGCTCGCGCGAGCTCCCCAGCGCGATCCCTGACGCGATCGGCACCCCGAGCAAGCTCAGCGGGAGCTTTGCTCGCAGCAGCGGCTGATCGCCCTGTCGCAGCTTCACCGACGCTTTCATCGCTCTCTCCTTCACAAGAAAATTCTTAGGGGAAACGGAGTACGAATAGGGCAAAGCCACGTGGAGTTACAAACGGGCAGTGAGAATATACTCAGTCATGACTGGCTATGGCGGGATTTCGATACTGGTGGCGAAGCGTTTGCCATACAAGGGTTTCGTCGGCTCGGCTTTGTCTAGGGCAAGGGCGAGGGCGAGCGGCGCGGCGATCGCGCGAATGGCGTCCACTGGCACTGGCGGCTATGATTTTGAGCTCAAGATCGCCATGGAGGCCGTGACGCTCGCTTGCGGCCTCACTAAGGTATGATCCAGAAAAATGAGCTTTTTTAGAGTCTCTCTTCGTTTCGCGCATCGGCATTGTTCCTTTTGGAGAGATTTCTCGTTTTTTTTTCTACGTGATCGAATTCTTTCTGGATGAACCGCGAACTGATCGATCGTTTTTTTTTTCCTGGTGTTTGGCAGTCCGTGCAGAGAAAACTATTGGAAAACGAAACGCAATCGAAAACTGACAACTCTCCGGTTACTATAGCAGATTATGGTACAAAACATGGCACCGCGTAGAACTTCTCATGGAGTTTTGATTTGCAGGCTCACAGGCAGTGGTCAGCTGGGCTCTAGAGCGGCAACTCCCCGCCGGAACGTTCTCCATGATAGCAGAAGAGGTTTGTAGCTGGTGAAACTCTTGTTTTACTAACACGTCCATAGGATTCCGAAGACTTGAGAAAAGAAGATGGAAAGGCCATGCTGCAAAGAATCACAGAACTCGTCAATTCTATTCCTTCCAAGGATGCGCTGCTTTCTTCGGAGGACGTTCTTTGTGCAATCGATCGAGGCAAGGCCGAAGGTGGTGCTCAAGGACGACACTGGGTTTTGGATCCTATTGACGGAACCAAGGGGTAAGTAGCGACACGTTTCCAACTTCGTCTGGCTCGAAGCTTTTATACATTTCCAGATTCCTTCGCGGAGAGCAGTACGCAATCGCATTGGCATTGCTGGACCAAGGATCCGTTGTTCTTGGTGTTCTCGGCTGTCCGAACTTGCCGCTGAGCGGGTTGTCCGACGATGGAAGCTCACCAGTCGGCTGCTTGTTCACCGCTGTGAGAGGAGCTGGAACCACACTTCACCCGATCGATGGTTCATTGCAGCCTCGAAAGGTACTTTGAAAATTTCAAGCTCTCGAAAAACAAGTTTTTCCGTAGGTTCGTGTCAGCGACCTCAGCGATCCGGCCTTGGCAGCGTTCTGTGAATCGTATGAATCGGCTCATTCAAAGCATGACTTGACGTCTGGCATTGCTAAGGTGATATTTTCCGCGATGGTTTTCTTCTTAGAGAACGTCTTTGCAGATGCTGGGAGTGACAGCGTCACCGATCCGAATGGACAGCCAAGCGAAGTACGGGGCCATGGCGAGAGGAGACGCAGCGATTTACCTTCGTTTCCCTCACAAGGGATACCGGGAGAAGATCTGGGATCATGCAGCCGGTTCAATCGTCGTGGAAGGTAGCAGCAGCAAGAGACTTGCAAATCTTTTGGTTCTGATGAGTTTGGTTTTGATGGTCAGAGGCTGGTGGTGTGGTTGTGGACGCTGCTGGACGGGCTCTGGATTTTTCCAAGGGAAGATATCTAGATCTGGACACGGGAATTATTGCTACAAATCCCTCGCTTCTCACGGCAGTACTCACTGCAGTGGAAACTTGCGTTGGATCAAAGAGTTTTTTGTGACGAGGTAAAAGAGTTTTGGGTTTTGGGTTTTGATTAATTACTGGAAAAGGCTCCTTAAATCCACACCTTTTCCCATGGCTATATAAACTTGCCACAGCTGCGAGTCATATTGTGGGTATGGAGCAAGAGAATTGGAAGGTTTTGCCAACACCGGAGCAAATTATGGAGAGGCGGCGCCTTTGGATACAGCAAAACCGAGCCGACTATTTGGAAGAGATTGGCGGGGAAACAGAGAAAGACGATGTGAAGCTGGAGAAACATGAGATGGGTGGGGCTTCAAACTCCTCTAAGAGAGTTGACGAGGAAAAAGAAGATGCTTGCCTAGAAGGCCACAACACTAGTAACAGACTTCTTTGGTGGTTTTGTGATTCTTTGTTTTATCCTATATAGTTTGTATTTGTTTTCTTGGAAACAAATGTTGAAAGGAATATAAAGTTTTCTTACTCCCGGAGATAATTCCAACTTGTAAAAGGTTCTCAAGAACAAACATGTTTCATATGTAATGATCTCATGGCCCAATGGACAAGGCGCTGGTCTACGGAACCAGAGATTCTGGGTTCGAGCCCCAGTGAGATCGTTAATGCTAGATTGTGGTTAAGTTCGGAGTATCAAAGAGTTTTTCTGTGAGTTTTTTGGTGAACTTACGCATTAAGCTAAGTCTCAGAACGTTAGCTCATAATTCTAGGGTTTTTTTTTAATGGCTGCAGTTCCTTTTGTGATCATGGGCCTGGCTGCTGTGGTACTTGTTTAAGCGGTTGTATCAGGGTGCGCCGCCTCAATGGCAGTTGATAGATGTTAGCCGACATGTCCGTGCAACATCCCAGGTATATGCTATATTTCTTGGTTTCCTTACCTGAATGCCTTGCAGCATGGAGCGGCTGCCATCGAGGAGAAGATGTATGTGGTGGGAGGATGCTGCAGGGACCGATACTTGAACGATGTGCTTGTGAGTATAGCGTGGATCTTTTCTCAAGTTCTTAGTAACACTCTCGTGGAGGTTTTGGATTTGGGAAGCTTGAGGTGGTCGACAGCCCAGCCTTGTCCCGTGTCGTGCGCCGGCCATTGCGTGGTGAGTTGAGGCTATTCAAGTTGTTTATGGCGGGGCTTTGCTTAAACACGGCCGACGAGCTTTGCAGTTAGCAAGAGGAAGAACGCTCTTACTCGTCGTTGGCATTCCATCTGATGAAAAGATGCGGGGTACTGTGTGGCTTTTGTTTTCCTCCTTTCTATGCATCCCTGTATGCAGTGTACCAATTTGACACGAATCAGTGGTCACGTATAGAAACGACGGGAGACATTCCAGTAAGCAAGCATTCTAGATTGTCGTTAAAACTTCGCGTGACTTTGTGTCCATAGGATGCAACTCGTGGTCAGTCCGCCACCCTGGTCGGGAACAAAATATGGGTGTATGGCGGTGTGGATTTTCGTGGTCAGCTGCGCCGTCAGCTACATGCACTCGATCTGGGAAGCAATCAGTGGGAGCTGATTAAAGCAAGGTAATATATCAATCCATAATTCCTGTTTTACTCGCGGCCTCATGGCAGTGGCGTCATCCCACCGGCGCTTTCTTTCCATGCTGCGGTGCATGAGGGCAACCATCTGTACGTTTTCGGAGCTGGCTCGTCTGGCTTCTGCAAGAACCTATACGCACTGGATCTCGTAAAGGTATGCACGAAGTAAGATGGTGTGGCCAAATTG